GAATTCTCCCATTAACACGTTAGTCATAGACCTGAACGCCACTGACCCAGACGAAGGAACCAATGGCGAGGTGGTCTACTCATTCATAAACTTTGTCTCCAACCTGACCAAACAGATGTTTAAAATCGACCCCAAAACAGGTGTAATCACAGTGAACGGCGTTTTGGACCACGAGGAACTGCACATTCACGAAATTGACGTACAAGCCAAAGATCTGGGTCCAAATTCAATCCCTGCCCACTGCAAAGTGATTGTTAACGTAATCGACATAAACGACAACGCGCCCGAAATCAAACTGTTGTCGGAGAACAGCGAGATGGTAGAGGTGAGCGAAAACGCTCCTCTCGGATACGTGATAGCACTGGTGCGAGTCTCAGACAACGATTCCGGAGCGAATGGGAAAGTGCAGTGCAGACTGCAGGGCAATGTGCCTTTTAGACTCAATGAGTTCGAGAGCTTCTCCACCTTACTTGTTGACGGCCGTCTGGATAGAGAGCAGAGAGACATGTACAATTTGACCATTCTGGCCGAGGACAGCGGGTATCCCCCGCTCAGAAGCTCGAAATCGTTTGCGGTGAAAGTAACAGATGAAAACGACAATCCCCCGTACTTCACCAAGCCCCATTATCAAGCCATGGTGCTCGAAAATAACGTCCCAGGTGCGTTTCTTCTGGCGGTGTCCGCCAGAGACCCTGATCTGGGCATGAACGGCACCGTGTCGTACGAAATCATCAAATCGGAGGTGCGGGGCATGTCTGTGGAATCTTACGTGACCGTCAACTCAAACGGCGAAATATACGGCGTCAGGGCTTTTAATCACGAAGATACGCGGACATTTGAGTTTAAAGTGTCTGCGAAGGATGGGGGAGATCCACCTTTGACCAGCAACGCCACCGTGCGCATCGTCGTGCTGGATGTAAACGACAACACACCTGTGATGACCACCCCGCCCCTGGTGAACGGCACCGCGGAGGTGTCCATCCCTAAAAACGCTGGAGTTGGTTATTTGGTTACACAAATAAAAGCTGATGATTACGATGAGGGTGAAAATGGGAGGTTAACATATTCAATATCAGAAGGAGACATGGCATACTTTGAAATAGACCAGATAAACGGCGAGGTGCGAACCACAAAGACGTTTGGGGAGAACGCGAAGCCATCCTATCAAATCACCGTGGTGGCGCACGACCACGGCCAAACTTCTCTGTCTGCCTCTGCATATATTGTCATTTATCTCTCACCTGATCTCAATGCACAGGAACAAATCGGACCAGTCAACCTGTCCCTCATCTTCATCATTGCCTTGGGCTCTATTGCAGTCATCCTGTTTGTCACGATGATATTTGTGGCTGTCAAGTGCAAAAGGGATAACAAGGAAATCAGAACCTACAACTGCAGGTACCCAGACAATTTATATACCTCTTTTTAGCCTAGTTCAGCGTGCGAATTACTCAATGACCTTCAGGGGGGTCGAATATTTGAAGGTAATCATAAAAAGAAATCAAATCAATAAAAGGCCCAACTATAAAATCCAGAATAAACACGAACAGCAACTGCTTCACCTGAGGTGTAACCATGGCAACAGTACGTTACTCGAGGTCTTTCCGTTATGACCAATATTGAATATTGACTAACATAAATAAGCATACGGTTTGTTTCGTAACATTTAATATTCGTAACTTTATTATAGATTATTTATATATCACAGGTAGGCCAATGAGCAACAAAAACAGAAGGCCTATTTATTCCAAAACAGTGCTAGGGGCGCCAAAGAACAACTATGATAGCGAGACTATGTAAAAGCCTAACGTTTCTTCCCAATTTGAAAGAAATATATATGCAGTTGAAGTCAGATTTATTAGCTCCACTATGATTTTTTTTCTCTTTTAAATATTTCAAAAATGATGTTTAACAGAGCAAGGACATTTTCACAGCATGTCTGATATTTTTTTTTCTTCTGGAGAAAGTTTTATTTGTTTTATTTCAGCTAGAATAAAAACTGTTTTAATTAATAAAAAAAAAAAAACTTTTAAGGTAAAAAATATTAGCCCCTTTAAGCTTTATTTTTTTCGATAGTCTACAGAACAAACTATTGTTATACAATAACTTGCCTAATTACCCTAATCTGCCTAGTTAACCTACTTTAAGACTTTAAATATCACTTTAAGCTGTATAGAAGTGTCTTAAAAATATCTAGTAAAATATTATTTACTGTCATCATGACAAAGATAAAATAAATCAGTTATTAGAAATGAGTTATTAAAACTATTATGTTTAAAAATGTGTTGAAAAAAATCTTCTCTCCATTATACAGAAATTTGGGAAAAAATAGACAGGTGGGCTAATATTTCTGATATTTCTTCACAAACATGCACACACACACACACACACACACACACACACACACACACACACACACACACACACACACACACATATATATATATATATATATATATATATATATATATATATATATATATATATATATATATATATATATATATATATATATATATATATATATATATATATATATATATATATATATATATATATATATATATATATATACACACACACACACACAAACAAACACACACACAGAGAGAGAGAGAGAGAGAGAGAGAAAGAGAGCATTATGTAATTTAGACTTAAGATATAGCGCTTAAAGTGACCATTAAAGGCTTAACTAGGTTAATTAGGTTAACTAGGCAGGTTAGGGTAATTAGGCAAGTTATTGTATATCAATGGTTTCTTCTGTAGATTGGAAAAAAATGCTTGAAGGGGCTACTAATTTTTACATTAAAATGTTTTTTTTTAATTTATTTTTTATTAATAACTGCTTTTATTCTAGCTGAAATAAAACAAATAAGATTTTCTCCAGAAGAAAAAATATTATCAGACATACTGTGAAAATGTCCTTGCTCTGTTAAATATCATTTGGGAAATATTTAAAAAAAAAGAAATAACAATTCAAAGGGGGCTAATATTCTGACTTTAACTGTATAATGTTAATAAAAATGTATAAAAAGATGGAAAACGTGGAAACAATAGCATTTTTTAAATGTTTTGTTATTTTAACTAATTATCACAATATCCTCTAAACTGATCTATTTAAACTAGGAAGAAATGCCATTAAGTAATTTGCACAACAACAACAAAAAAAAATGATGTTTTACTTAGACACAGGCCTGACTTTTGTACACCCAGATGTACATTGAGTCTCTAATTGGTCTTTTAATTTTTTTCATTGCTACTTCCAAGTTCAGGCCCTACTAACAGTAATGGGCCAACCCTCCTATAATTCGCACCCTGCTCTAGTTGACTTATGCATATGAGTGTATTTGAACTGGAAATGAATCAGTGATCTCATACAGTGATTAAGTGATAAAGAGAGAGCATGTTCGATGTGTACCTTGGCTATGCACGCGCTGTGTCGTCAACTGTGCATGTGCTTCAGGCCTTGCTCTGCTGCTGCCATTGCTGGTGACAGAATTAAGCATAACAAGAGATAATTTTAGCAATCATTAGACTTGTTCATGGTTTTTATATTTAGACTGTCCTAAATGGTTAGAAAAAAGACGAATTTGATTGAATAACAGAATAGCAGATAATAGCAAGTATTTCACACCTAAAAAGAGTTTTAATTTACAATAATTATTTCATTCAGATAATTAAATATCACAATTCAAAGTGATAGAAAAAGTGTTTTAATGTACATACATGTAAGGCATTGTTTAAAGAAATTTAGTTGATTGATTTTTTAAAGGATCTCCGAAAGAGTAACAGAAAATAAAGCTAAACAATAGAGTGAGCTAATATAAGCAATACATTTTTGTACCTTTCTTAGTGACTGAATCATTTTAAGCAAAGAATAGTAAAGTAGGCCTTTTCTCATTCACATGACATCGAGACTGGTTTTTGCATAAAGTACAAATGTAATTTATTGAGAGAGTTCCTTTTGCAAATTTGTTGCCCACATATTTGAACATGTTGTTTAGTTCCCTAACATATTATCATAGACTTCACTATATCAACATACAGTAGCAAGGCTATAGCAAACAAATGCTACTGTGGCAAGATCACACTTTCATAAAAATAATTACCCTCTTAAAAGGTAAATCATGCAAATGTACGGCACGGTGATAGTCTTTGACGTATGGTGTGTAGGGGAGAATATTATTTAGTTAATCTACTGTAATATGAATACTTATCAATCTGTAACATTGGCCACTGTGTTGATTTCCCCCTGCTACATTACCACTCAACATTTCCATATAAATTGCTTTCGCAAATTTAACCTGAAACTATTACCATATTTTTTTTTTGGACTTCAAATTGTTGTTGATGTTTCCGTCTTACACTGCGACAGCATACAGTAAATGATCCATCTTAAAAGAAATGCATGCAAGTGAACATTTTCAAGAAATCTAGATCGTGATTTCTGTGGTTAGCCACGCAGAATATCTGCCTTGCCATGATCGCAAGATGGTTAGAGATGGCTTGTGTTTAGATTGCTGTCGTTAACATTTATTTTCCTCTCCAGATAGAAACCTGATGGAGGCTTTCAGCTCTCCCAGTAGGGGGTTAGTGAGAGTGCTTGATACGGTTTTCTTCTGCTGTGCTCACTGACTCTCCTTTCTGGCTGCGTTTTCAGCGTTTTGGTGTGGACGGAGAGCAGTTCAGAAACGCTGGGTAAAACGCGAGTGTGGACGCGGATCGTTTTCATTCTAAAACGCCGTTTTAAAACTAATACGCACTAGTGTAAACGGGGCCTGAGATTCTTTGGATTGTCTTCACTGTGTCGAGAGCCTAACACATATGACCAAACAGACTATAGAGATGTGTGTTTATTAGGACAGTAGGATAAAAGAACCTGACGCTGTTTCAATTGAGAGAACATCAACAAATGATGTATTAAAGCAACAGAGACAGCCTAATCATATTCATAATAAATATGCATAAATACCATAGCACCTGTTCTGGTAGCCCCCCCCCCCCAGTTTATTTTTCCCCAATTTATGTTTAATTGAGAGAAGATTTTTTTGAACACGTCTAAAAATAATTGTTTTAATAACGCATTTCTAATAACTGATTTATTTTATCTTTGCCATGATGACAGTAAATAATAAACTAGGTTAATTAGGTTAACTAGGCAGGTTAGGGTAAATTGGCAAGTTATTGTATATCGATGGTTTGTTCTGTAGATAGGAAAAAAAATGTGCTTAAAATGGCTAATAATTTTGTCCTTAAAATGGTGTTTAAAAAATTTAAAACTGATTTTATTCCAGCTGGAATAAAACAAATAAGACTTTCTCCAGAGGAAAAAATATTATCAGACATACTGTGAAAATTTCTTTGGTCTGTTAAACATCATTTGGCAAATATTTAAAAAAGAAAAACAAAATCGAAGGGGGGCTAACATTCTGACTTCAACTGTATCTCTTTGCATATTTCTGTGATACTTTTTCTTTAACGAAAGACAAAAAGCTCACTATTCCATTGAATGACAAGAATAGTATATTTTTCGACCAGCTATTAAGCATGCCTCAGACTGCCTAACTTTTTCTGTGCTTTCAGTCGCGCAGAAGAAAAAATGCTTTTAGATGCCTCCTAAAAAGATAAGGTCCTGCACCGTTATCATTTTTTTCCGAGCCACAAAAAAGTAAGGAGCAGGGAGACACAAGCTGAATCCAAATGAAAAGCACAGAAAGAGGAGCTTTGTGTTGTGCAGGTGAAGCGACAGTACCATTAAGCTAAAGCCGTACTTTGCAACGAATGTGTGCCCTTCGGAGCACATAAAAATAAATACTTGTAAAATTGTTTCAGGGTTATAAGATGCAGTGAAAAAAAGAGAGAGGGGGGATAAGCCCAGACAAATACTCAACTCTCCAGATTAGTTTATGTTTAGATTTCCAACTTAAGCATCCTTCAGGGCAAGATTTCAAAGTTTCTCATTTACTGTGATTACAATCAAAGCCCTCAAATCAAGTTAGCGTTAGCCACAGAGCGTAGCTAACAGAATTGAAATTCACAACCCACCTGCCAGCAGGCGTGTTAGTAACACAAGCGAAAAAGTAGACAAACGCCAGCTTAACTTTGCATATTAATGCTTACACTCACAATGATGCTCAGTGTCATTTGTCGCCGTGTGTGCTTCTGTGGTTTGGCATGTTTGCATTGTGTATGTATGTTTGTAACAAGTCAAATCGCCGAGCATGAAAATGCAAACAAATGAGGGATGTCGGCTCCATTGGCGGCCGGAGGTTGCTCGAATGTGGCTACGCTCTCTCTCGTGCCGCCAATGAATATGGGTCTGGCACCTCAGCCCGAGCCAGGCGGAGACCTGGCACTGGCTGTGCGTGCAGTGAGGAAGGCAGAGCATTGCTTTATTGAGTCTGTTCAGTTTCTTGTACCTGCGCAGGGTGGCGGAGTACTCCTACGGCAACCAGAAGAAGTCCAGCAAGAAGAAGAAGCTGAGCAAGAATGACATCCGGCTGGTGCCGCGGGACGTGGAGGAGACGGACAAGATGAATGTGGTGAGTTGCTCGTCTCTCACCTCTTCGCTCAACTACTTCGACTACCACCAGCAGACTCTGCCGCTGGGCTGCAGGCGCTCCGAGAGCACCTTCCTCAACGTGGAGAACCAGAACTCCAGGAATGCTGCACCCAACCATGGCTACCACCACACCTTCACAGGGCAGGGCCCTCAGCAGCCTGACCTCATCATCAACGGCATGCCGCTGCCTGAGGTGAGATTTGCTCCAGTCTGCTCCATCCTTCAGCCTGCCACGGCTAACAACAAGGGAGGGTGGGGTCGAGGGAGATCCGTCGCAACCTAGACGTTAAAAAAAGAGGCTACATTTGGTTACTGAGAGCTAGCAGTTACTACAGTCTATGTGCTTTGTTGTTGTTTTTCCATTGAGAGACAGGAGAATGGTTCTTGGAAATTGGTTTCTTTTTACTAGGCTTGCATCCGTGTTTACATGCATTTATTGTCGGTGTTGGATTCCTGAGTGTGGTAATAATAAAAAAGTGAGCAAGCAGTCATTGGACAGTTGCCAAAGTGGATTATTTGGCCACCTCTGTTTCTGCTCTCTCTTTTTCACGCTGAGCAAAAGAGTTGTAGCCTGAACATCTGCCAAATGCACTGACCTGGCTAATCGGCAGCACTGCGTGTAATTTCAGGTGCAACCATTAAGAACAATCATTGCGGAAACAATGATTTGCTCCTAAATTCTTCTTGTCCATGAGTGGCATTCAGTTACTTATGGTGGCATTCGATTACAAAGGTTGCGTGTTTGAAAAATGGTTATGGATAAGCAGGCATGTTTGTAATAACAGAGAAATAAACTGTGACGTAATCAATCACAGCATCCAGTCAGGTCGCTTGAAGACCTCAAAGGCAATGCAATGACAACTCAATTAACCATCATATACACTTTCTATGGTGCGTCATTAATGACAAACATTTTTTTAGACTCTGTAAGTATCAGTGCTTGTTTTTTCCACAGAATAAACATTTATATTGCATATTTAAAAGAGTTACTCGCATCTCAGATAAAAAGGTCAGAATTTTAAGATAGAAACTCAGAATTATGAGAAATAAAGTCAGAATTAAGTAAAATAACAATAACTTTTTAATTTGTGGTGGAAACAAGCTTGCATTTGCAAGAGAATATTTATCATATTTAGCTTTTATTAAAATAAGAAAGATTATTTAAATTGTATTTATGTTGTTGCTTATTTAGTACTGTCCCGATTAGGCTCTTAAATTGCAAATATTTACACATATTTCAGAAGTAAAATAAGGAAATAATAGAGTCAAGCTTACACAAATTAATGTTTGAATGTTTTTGACAGTTGTTTATGAGTCCATGATTTCTCCTGAATAGGAAGCTGCCCTCTGAAAATTAAAAACCTCTAGCTACTGCAAAGTTTTTGGCTTTCTGGAATCTTCTGCACACGAGTGACTACATGGTATTAAAATACAGTTTTATCGCACAGAGGACAACTGAGAGACTCATAGAAAACTGTTACAAAAGATTCAAGCAGAGTTTGTCATTTGAGAAATATGCTAACATCTTACACCCCATTTAAAAATATACTATAGTAATTTATATAAAATAATAGTGTTTTTGTACAACCCTATAATAAAGTGTATTATTCCGTATATATAATAGGATAACACTTCTTAATGAATGCTATATCTCACTGTAGTTTTAACCGTAATTAACTGATAAACTATAATAAATACCTTCTATTTATTTTAGCTTCTACTACAAACTTGCATTGTAGAATAATACACCTTATATTTGTAGAAAAGTAGTGTATTGTTTAATTTGTTTATATTATTATAGTTGTTGCGTTATCATAGCAACTATATAGTCATCCGATTCGTATGTTATCACTTGATTAATTGGGTGTTAACAGTGGTTATCAGCTGATAGATATGGGACAGTAGGGGCCTTCTCTGCCTACTGGTAGACTTAGAAGGCTGTTATCATCCATCCTCATGGTTAATCAGCTATACTAATAGAGAAGACTCCAGATCCAGATCTGTTACTGTGACGGTTGGGTTTAAGGTTAGGGTATGGTTGTATGTTAATTAAATACAAGTAATGGGACATTTAATAAATAATATGAATAATTCTCGTTCACTTCAGGCTGCAGCTGTGATCTATAGCTGATTAACCATGTGGATGGATGATAACAGCATTCTGAGCCTACTAGTACATGCAGAACGCCTATATCTATCAGCTGATAACACCCATTCAATCGAGTGAAAACATTCGAATGGCCTGATATAATCAACACAAGATAATAATTGAAGCACTATACTATAGTATAGTTCAAACCGTTGTAGTATTTACTATAGTACTATTACCTCTGGGACAGTTTATAAAATGAATAAAAAAGCTTGCTTTGTAATACTGATTCTTAGCTGTATATTGTAGTGTCCATATTTTTGTCCATATTTATTGTAGTACGGCTGTTTATATTGTCAGATGACACACAAACAGACTGAACACACATGAGAAGTTTCACAGCTGGCAAAATGAGTAATTAGATTTGCACCAATCCATTGATTAGCTGATTGGACACTCTTCATTGTTTGCAAAGCCGGTGGAAATCAATGAATCACGGTTATTATAACACTAATATAATCGAAGCAGTCACCAGCCATACTGATCATATTTAAAATCCGATCAAGGTTGAATGGAGGAATATACTGACAGAGGTACCATGATCCTGTAGGTCAGACTACACTGAGGTAAAGCTGCATGCAGACTGGACAAAGGATTTACAGAGCGTAACAGCAAATGTAGTAGCTAGGCATGGTAGCATAATCCTTTAATAAAACTACCTAAGCAGCAGGATTAAAGAACATCTATTTTTCTCAGCTGATGAAAAGACAAGGAATTAAGGAAGGGGGCGGTGTGGGCTGAATAAGCCTGTAGATTGAGCGTGATAGTACAATGAACTCTAATGCAAAGCTTTGTTGTTTCACGGCAGCATTAGGAGAGAGGGAGAGATTGTGTATATGCATCTTAATGTCTGCACATTTTCCAATTTCGTATAGGCTAGCGATTGGCCTGATAAAGGTGCGGGTTTATTTGTATGCCGGCTTCATCATGCGCGGCGCTCCACCTGACATTGACAAACATCTCTTTTCTGCATATAAGGCTATATATGGACTGAATACATTCACAAATATCCCTTTCGCCTTCAGCGTGACATACAAAATACAGTGGGCTCCCCGTTCAGCATGCTGTATATGAAGGATGTTGTCAGTGTAATTACGCATCCGTTTATGTGGGGCACAATCAAACATTGCAGCTGTGAAATGACCGATAATAGCTCTTTCACGCATTACCAGTCTAGGCTTGAAAGCGTTTGACTCTACAAGTCAGGGTTTTTCCTGAGGTCTGCCGAGGACACGCCGGTTGGTACATGATTGTGATTAACCGTGCATCTCTTTGTCCTGAAATATCAAGGCCTGAGAGCTGTTTTACAGTGTTTTCGTGATTCAAACATGATTTTGGGATGTGATTTGTTTGTTTACTTTACAGTCCCAGTTGGAGCTTATACTCTGAAAATGTATGCTCGGAAGAGTGCTATGCCAAGTTTTTTCTTCTTCTCTAAGGGAATAAATATTGCGTAATTTTATTTAAAAGTATACACTGCTGGTTTATTGATAATAAGTCTAATCTGATAGCCTAGATCCAATCTTTTCAGCCCACGACCTCCCAAAACAAGCATAACGGCGACTCGCGACCCCCACTAACCTCTGAGGAGGGTATAAATATACAAATCCTGCATGTTGCTCCATCAATGGTGTAATTTTTGAGCTCATCCTCCATATTTATACATGGCTTGTATTCATTTTTAATATACTTGAGTGCCGTAAAGGTGACCGGAAGTTTAACCTGGTGTCATAAAATCATTGTGCTACATCTGACACCATATTTAATATAACATAATCACCCCAGGGGTCGCAAACCAAATCGATCTATTCCAAATTGGTCTTTCCAAATCGAGCTATTCAAATCATCTGCTGTAATTATATTCATATTGCGACATATATCGCAGCAAAACAAAATATATGTCAGATTTTTTCCAATATGGTGTAGCCCTAGTTTGTATTTATTCATTTAGCACACTTTTTTTTTAATCCAAGGTGACTAAGAAATGTGAAATGTAATGATAGACTCCAAAATAGCTTGTTATATGATCAAATGTTCAATATAGGGTTTAAGAATTGGTACAAAAAGTACAGGACGGAAGATTAAAAACTAAATCAATTATTCAGGAAGGTCTTTGAGGCCTCTCCTGGCCCAAAAAAAAGTACATACACAGTTAATTGACTCATTCTTAAATACCCAAATAATGAAGAGAGACACATTGCCTTAGTCTGTGTTTAATTAAATATGATTAAATAAATATTTGATAAATGTATTACTGCTAATAAGCCATGAAAGAGAAGAAATATGTGTAGTTTTTTTATTTTTTAAATGCTAATGTAGATATAGGTCAAGACTCTTTTTGGTGTAATCGAATGCAATTTGCTAGCATGCATGATTTATAATGTAATATAAAGCATTGCTTTGATGTTTCCAATAACTTTAGTAAGAATAAAAATGTTGCATTGTCATTAATATGCAGATAATGAAGCAAAACAGGAAAAGTTTACATGCAAAAAAAAAAGTGCTAAATAATCTTAAATTACCATTTTTTTCTCAGACTGTTGTGTGTAGTTTCAGTAATTTTACCCTTAGTGAAAATGTAACCCACCGGTCCTGTTGCACCCAACGTCGAACAGGCGATTCTTTGCATGGGAGTCGGTTGCTCTATCAAGGAGGCTAAAGACCATGGCCTCCAGCATCCTCTAGAGCACCTTTGGAGATCAGAGAAGTGAAGTTTACAAACTTCACTTCCATCCCGGACGAGCTCCCACGTGTAACTCACAGGTCCTACTCCACTCAAACTGGTCTGAGCTAGGATCGAACCAGTGATTCTTTGCATGGGAGTCATTTGCATAGCACTTCGTTAGCTGGTCTTTGTTACAAACTTCTCTCCCATCCCGGACGAGCTCCCACATGTTACCCACCGGTCCTACAGCACCCAAACTGGTCTGAGCTGTGATCAAACTGACGATTATTTGCAGGGGAGTCTGTTGCATAGCACTTCACTAGCTGGCCTCTATTACACGAATAATAGGTTATTTTTATTGCCTTTAAAGTAAAATAAC